GAACATCCTAAACTCCACCGACCCCACCCACACCGGCAGACATGCCGCTCGCTAGAGCATGAACGCACGATGACAAACACTTCTGAATTCGTCGCCAGCCTCCTTCTTCTGCCCGATGCGCCAGGCTCGTTCACGTGCTTGCACATCCGTCATCGGATTCCAGTCAGGATCAAAGATGAGAACCCGATCGGCTCCGATAATATTCAAGCCGACCCCTCCGACACGGGTGGTCAAAAGCATCGCGAACAGGTCGTTCTTCTCGTTGAACTCCTCGATCAATTTCAGCCGGCGTTTCACGGGCGTCTTTCCATCGATGCGCGAGTGCGTATAGCCCACACGACTCATCCAGAGCTCCAGAACCTCCAACATTTGCACCGTCTGCACGAAGATCAGGGCCCGATGCCCATCCCGATGCCAGAGCTTCATGATCTCTGCCAGGACCTGATCAGGAACATGCGGAAGCCCAAGCAACACCTGTAGGTCTAGCCGTGAGCTCTTTTGAAGATGAACTCATTCGGGAGTTTCCGAAAATTAGTTTTGGGATGCTTTCAATAGGTATCCTACTATTTAGGGTGCTATATTAGGGTCCTCTGTTTTCATAAACTTCGGCGGTCTTTGCAAGCGGGCGACCTTCATCTTACCCGATTTCTCGAAGCTCCACAGCTCCTCGCCAGGCTCCTCCTTCTGCTCCGCCTTCAGTTGGGGGAGCGTACAGTATAGCATCGAATGAATGAGAGTATGCGTGATTCGTACTACTTGTTGTTTTTGTTGTTGTATGAGCTTTATACTTCTACTCTGAGCATTAGTATAAGTATTCTTGCTGACTCTAGTATTGTAGAGGTATATAGCCCTATGCGCAAGCCCGGCCCAACCCGGCCCGAGCCTTACCGTCGTAGCCATTCAGCAGGAGGTCTGGGTGGTTGCAAAGCTTACGCAGGACGCTGAGGGCAAAGAAGACTGCACCAAGTGCTTTTCCTTACTCTGGTGACTCCTTCTGATGCCTTGAGCAGACCCGGCAGTTTCATTCACTGCATCCTGTAACATGCTAGCTCACAATAAAGCATCCCGGCACTGAAGACATCTAAGCACCCTGGCGATCAAAAACATTTAGTTGCTGCCAAGGGATCTATCCGTGGTGGCCGTCTTGGCCCGACGTGCCTGAGCAAGGGGATTGGGCCCCGGTCTGCCGGCTACCAAAACTGGAAGACGGCCACGTCCTGCTTCTGCTCTGGAGACGCGGTTTGGACTATATGTGCCTGTCTAGCACCTCAGAAGCAACTGACCCGCTCTACTCCAAGTGCACTATGACACTATGAAAGCAAATCGTATAGCCGCACAAACACTACACCAGCAAGGACGCATCTGTTCACGACGATGACATGAACATTATCTCAAAGATACAACGGACATGCTGGCAACCAGACTTACCTTTGGTTAGTAGGGAATGGAAGAATGGGAGTAATAATATGCTATAATTGTACCCCATTCCTCCAGTTCCCTACTCACCAAAGGTAAGCAGAAGGCCCAACTCATCCTCCCGAGGCTTGAATAAGCTCCTTTTCAGAGCTCCCGGCTCGCAGTGGCTAGTACCCAGAGAGCCCAATACCCCTTAATTAAGGAATATAGCTTAAATCATGAGATGAAGCCCTATATAATTTAAGCCATATTCCTTAACTAAGGGGTATTGGGCTCTCTGGGTAGAAGGGGGTTTAGGGTTTCGGTGCTTACACTCTGACACTCCAGGCGAGGCATGTGGGTCGAGGTCTGATGTTTTTTTCCCTCCTAGGGTTTAGGCTTTAGGCTTCTTTTGTTGTGAGCTCTTTCGACGCTCACTCTCCTCTTTAACCCACCTGCTGCAAACACCTTTGGACCAACGCTCATACTAACATTGACAATACTAACAAAAACAAAAGTAATACCAATAACAAGAAGAAGAATACTTCATAAGACGAAGCTGAACGTCTCCCGGTGGCCTGCTCGGTCTCGAGGAACTGGACGTACAGGTGATACTGTTCTGCTGTGAGGTGGCAGAATAGCACTTGCTCCTGCTTCGTGGGCAAGTTCAGCACATCCATGCACTCGGCCTTGGTTCGTCGAAGGATGCAAGGCTCCGTGAGCTCCCGCAGGGCCAAGGCGCACTGATAGGCTGCTGCAATCTTCACCTCTGTGGCTCCCATGAGATTACCGCTTTCTATGGGCTGCGCAAACTCTTCAGTAAACACGGGTAGTGTTCCCAATCGGCCAGGGCAAACGAAATCAAAGAGCGACCATAGCTCTTGCAGATTGTTCTGGATCGGAGAGCCAGAAAGCAAGATGCGATGGGCTGTGCTGAACCTTTTGCATGCAATGGTAATGCTCGCGTGCGGGTTTCTAATTTTCTGGCCCTCATCAAGGATGACCAAAACCCATGTCGCTTCGAGCAACGCATCAATAGCGATTCGCATCGTCTCATAGGATGTGATCAGAACTCCTTGATGCGAGGAAGCTTGCTGGATGGACTCCTTGCGGTCTTCCTCATTCAGTTGGTGCATCACGCAAACACGGAGCGGCGGATACCAGAGATGAATCTCATTCCGCCATTGGCTAATGAGCGTCGCAGGACACACAATCAGGACTCCACCAGTCCTTGGCGGACTAGCGGCTCCGAGGGATGTGTTTTGTACCTTCATGTTCTGTAGCACGCCGGAGTGATGCAACACCGCCAGATATGCGATGATCTGGACAGTCTTCCCCAGGCCCATCTCATCAGCCAAGATCCCACCCATTTTGTCGCGATGGAGACCCCAAAGCCAATGCACACAACGGTGTTGATACGGATAGAGCGCTTGCCAAAGCCACTTTGGGCAGCGAAGACCTTCGCAAACCTGGATTTCTTCCTGCAGCACCCTTACCTTGGGCTTCTTGCGGTCGGGATCGGGCTTGCAAACGGACTCCCCCTCCTCGTCCAGCTGCTGCTTGGGCACCAGAGACACTGCAGCAGATGTGCCGGGATTCCAGAGCTCCTGCCTTCGTTGGTAGACACTTTCGTTCACGTCATCCCGGCGAGCCTTCTTTGCTTCAGGGGGAGCTGCTTCCTGGTGTCGCTTTGCACCGGGACGCTTGCGCAAGAGGTTCTGCTGAGGAGACACTAGTTCGCCTTGCAGCTGCATAGCTCGCCACTCTGCAGGGTTGTTCTCTTTCCAGACACTGTGTACTTGCGCCGCTCGCGGCTTCAATCGGTTAACATCAATAGCACTCAGTGGGAGCGATGATGACGCCGGCTGCACTTCCATGCGTTTCTCCTCTTTGACAGGGTCTGCTTCCCAGAACGACTCGTCCACAACCTTTCTCTGCAGTGCCTGCGCCTCGGCCAAAGGAAGCTTGATCTGACCTTTCCTGGGTAACGAGGTCCTGGTTCCCGGCTGGCCCGGCTGGCCCTGGCTCTCTAACTTCCGTGTGCTGCCAAGCGCGGGGCCCCCCCGCTGCATCTCGGTGGAGGCAGCCCTTCCAAGCCCCGAAGAAGAAGACGACCTGCCCACGCGCTCCACCGCCGCATAGGCCGCCGCAACGGCCTTGGAGGGTACAGAAAAACGGTGCTCAACGGCTAAAGTGACTTCGCGAAACACATACCTAACTCCGAAGCCTGCTCCAGTTTGGACTGCTCCTCCAGGTCAAGACTGGACCCAGAGGATTTGAGCTTCTGCCAGGGCCTGTGGCTCCTCTGATTGGGTTCGGCAACCGTGGCACTGGCCACGCGATCCTCCAACGCCAGAACCTCACTGTGCAGCACCTCTCTGTTCTCCAGCGCCTTCTTCAGCGCAGGGATGTTAGGGTCTTCCTGTTCACTGGAACTTTTCAAGAGACCCTCGATCTGCCGGTCGACTTTTGTCAGTTCGGCCATCTTCGATGGCAACTGAAGCTTGGCATCACAGCTGTCGACCACCCGACTCTCAACGTCCCTGGCATCGCGGACTTGAACACCCAGGGCATCCAGCACCGAGGCAGCCTCGCTATGGCATCCTGCGTCCTCCTTCACCAAGACGTCATCGTCGGAGTCTTCTTCTGTACCAAAGAGCTCATCGGCATCAAGGAGCTGCTCCATGAGAGCTGGTGAACCCCTAGGCTTCCCGTACGATTCTATGCTAATCGTAAGGCTGCGGGCTACGTTAGGGACTCGAGTTCGGATCGAATTCCTCCTGCGATTGGCAAGCTGACATGTTCGGTACCTCCCCTTGGCTCCTCTTGCCATCGGACCCTGCTGTGAGCCTCTACAGAGGGCCGATGCTCGACGCTGCAAGCGGGATCTCTGCAGCTGCCCTCGTCTTTGGGGTTGGGCTTCAGGGTGGGGTCGTGGAGTTTGGGCTTCGACAGGGGGAAGCCGTGGCCAGGAAGCCTCCAAGCAAGTTCAAGTGTGGAGTCCACACGCGACCCTGCAACCTTCGGCGCCAGATCCTGTTGAAGTTGCAAACAGCAGTTGTGGAGTAGCGACCCCACTCTGCTACACAGGCTGCATACACGAGAGGGTCGCACTTTTGGAGCTCCGATTGAAAGCTGTCCGATCTCTCGCCTCTCGGTGTAGCAACTTCTGTGCACATAGGCAAGCCGAAATTCTGAGGCTTGGCTTGAAAAAAGCAGCCCAGAGGCCGTGCGCGGAATTCATCTGAAAGAACCAGACGCATTGTCGCAGTTCAGATAATGGGCGTTGCAGAAAAAAGTGTGTATATATATATATATACACATATATCTATCTATATATATATATATATATATATATATATATATATAGGTCCCGAGCAAATAGTCCCTGAACAATCGTGATATAGGAACCGCCAAAAGGAACCCCTCTTTTTACGAGACTGAGCGTTTGCTCGCTGGCTTGTGCTCTGCCTGCTGCTCTCGCATTTAACTACTCGGTGAAACTGGGTTTGTCGGTGAACTTCAAGCGACGGGAGAGCTGCACACAAGTCACGCGCACGAAGCCTGGTAATGGTATCGAACCACATACTCACAGGAAAGCATGATCATGCACCTTGCGATGCATCCTCCCGGTATATTTCGAAAACATCAGTGCAAACTTGCTCAATGCCATCCTCCAGTAGAGGACCCTCACCGCCGCAAGAAACCTGCAAATCATTCCAATCCTTCTGCCCGGTCGTGCACACCATCCGCCACATCCCGGTGCACAGCCGAAGCATGGGGGCAAACATCATCAGAGCTAACTCAAACTCTCTTGGATCATAGCGTTTGCCTTGATTGGCCGCCCTTTTACGGCCACGTTCGACGATAGTGTCCTTGTCCCCAAAGACTCCGATGATATGGATGTCGTATCCAGCTCTTCTGAGGCTCTCCGTCACGTCAACGCACTGGGAGCGCCGGAGGCATGTGCTTGGGATCAGCAAGTTCCTTAGCCGCCCTAAGTACCCGAATAAACATATGATTCTTATCAATCCCGTTACAATAAAACATAACTCCTAAGATCCCCTTAAGTTGTATGATAACGAAAATAACTCCTAAGATCCCCTTAAGTTGTATTATAAGGAAAATAACTCCTAAGAGTAGTATAAAGGTTCTTCCTGTCCTTCATGGCGGCCTCGAGGAGTTCCTGCTTCTCCTCATTGATATTCTCTCGGATCCCCAAGTAGGCACCCCACCTCAGCGGCGGCCGTTCTTCTCATATTTTTGGAGAGCCCTATATAGAGAAAAGCGAAGCAGCTTCCAATATCCCTAGAGCCCTATATAGAGGAAAGAAGCAAGAAAGAAAAGGAGGGCGAAAGAAGCGCAAAGCATGTGAGCTTCAAGTGGTGCAGACGGGGCACCACACACACCCGTGCTGACGCCCTTTCAGTATGGCTTTCTTATACCCGCCATGGGCATCACGGAAGGCCTCTCCGTCTACCGTCACGTAGCCCTCCTGATCCATGCCCACCCATTTGGCCGCTTGCGGCGCAAGAGTGGACTTCCCACAGGCGCTGGGTCCTATAAGCCACATGGCAGAGGGCTTCTGAGAGGGCTTGGCATCGAAATAGCCACTGTTTGCATAGGCTTCTTTCAGCTCCTCCTCATTGAAGGGCTTCCCCAGCTCGCGGTCTAAGCTTTCGCCCATATCGAAGCCGATGAGCTCGCAAATATCGGCAGTAGAATCTCCAGAGACTATATCATCACTGATAGAATCATCGGCTTCCGAAGTGTCGATGGTCCTTGGAAAATAATGAGGCAACGTGTCCTCCTCCTCATCAACCTGGCACTCCACCGCACTCTCAAGGCTCGCAGCGCCAGCTGACCGTGGCTTCTGGCCCGTTGGGCCCCTTCTTCGAAAGCAAAGGCCCGAGGCAGCGAGGACGGAACCCTGCAGAAGGCCAAGGTGCCGCGGAGGAGCCTCGGGTTGCCGAGTGCTGGCCGCCGCCCTCCCGTAAAGCCGCTGGGAAGCTCCAGGCCCCGGAGGACCCAGGACGCAAGAACTACAAGACCTCTGTGTGACGAGCATCTCAGGCAACTTGCAGGACCAGAAGCACTGGGGCCCGAGAGGCCAGGCTTGCGCCCGACACTGGTGTAAAGCACTATGGTCAAGCTGGTGGCTGAAGGGCACAGATGGCATAGGTCACACATCACGTGTATCTAGCCCTAACAACTAGGAAGATCGATACAAGACCTGTGCTAGGTTAAGCGCAGTGTGCTGTCAAGTCGATAGCAGATGCAGCTATGGGCAGAGCAGAAACTCGGCCATTTTGCTCCAAAGCATGTGGCACAGCCGCTTCTTTGCACACGTCATGGCTTCTGGGCGTGCCTGCACAAGCGAAGGAGAAAGGCTGAAACTAGTGACATACAAGTCCCGCGCAAACAGCGACCCGATTGCAAGAAAACACGAAGGTGAGACCGTCATGTAAGGAAAAGCGGGGTCGGTTTTGGAAGCCTTGGGGAATCCCAGCCAGAAAAAGTTCCTACCTGGGCTCAATGCCGATGCCGCTCTGTGGTACCAGGAACTAACCAGGCTGCTAGTAGAAGGTCTCCAGCCAGTGACGGCAACTTCAGTTTTCGCACAGCCCTGGCCCGTGAGCCCACGTCAGCTCGAGACTCGGAGGTTCAAGCCAACGCGTGCAAACATCGTGAGATCACAGCGAAACCATGCGAAACCCCAGCCACCCAGGCCAAGTGCATTCGGCGAGCTTTGTGAATCTACAAATACAAAGATAAGTGTATGTATATATGTACATGTACAGGTATGTACATATATGTATATATAGATAGATATTGTAGGTGTATACACAGATGTATAAATATATAGATATATGTATCGAAAAGATATGAATACGTCTACATATGTAATCGTATGTGTGTGCGCGCGAGAGAAAGAGTGATAGCTGGATACATAGCTAGATAGCTAGTTTCTTTAGATAGCTAGTTAGATTAGTTAGATAGCTAGATGGATAGTTAGCTAGACAGATAGGTAGCTAGCTAGACAGCTAGACACATATATGGTCACGCGCTCCGCGGCCCCCCCCCCCTCCCCCCCCTCCATGGTCTATGGTCCAGGATGCCCCCACTCCTGTGGGATGGAGTGTGGGTTCCCGCTGTGGGGTGGTTGTGGGGGTTTTGGGGTTTTGGGTCCAGCTTAAGCTTGTGAGTTTTGGGTTTAGGTATTGTGTTACAAGGTATCAGGCTTCGAGTCGATAAGGGTTTAGGGAGGGTTTGGGGTGTAGGTTCGCTAGGGTTGATAGTTTGTGTTCTGGTTTAAGCTTAGAGCCTGCATTTAGGCGGGGTTTAGGGTTGGTTGTAGGGATTAAGTTTAGGTCAAGGTTCATAAAAGCAGGAGCAGGCGCTGCTGCGCTGCGTTATAGGATTTATGGCTTGCGTAGGGCTTGCGTACGATTCCGGCCTTGTCTGTGACGCCTGGCCGTCCCTCCAGCTGCAGCTCCAACGGCCCCCACCCCTCTCCGCAAACGCCAGACCCCCCCCCCACACCCCGCAGAAGACCATACCTTTGGGGGGGGTGGGGGTTGGGAACGCCAGACGCCTGACCATATATATATGTATATAGAGAGAGAGAGATATATATATATATATATATATATCTATCTATCTATCTCTGTGTGTGTGTGGATTCCGGATACCACAGCAAGAACCACCCCACCTGCTCATCGCGACCGCGAGCGGCTCCTCGCTGGAGCCCTCTGAGGCCTCTCAGAGCATCGGCGTGAAAACCAAGGTTTTGAGGTTTAGGATGGCTTTTTTTTGAAATGTCCCTTTTCCATCTGCATGAAGGATGGTTTAGTTTAGGGCCCATATCCCGACCGCCCCATACCCAATGCAAAAGTGACAACTTTCATCATAAGGTGGAGCCCTGTGTGAGTTTGGAGACATTCCATAATGTAGAACAAGGAAACCAGGCTCGTCCTACCTCAGCCGAAATGCCAGCCCACAACAGAGTGAGATAATTTGCTGCACGGGGTGGTAGCATGGCGCTGCAATTGATACAACAAATTATGTTTTTAGCCGTCTTGTTGGTATTGCTTCTTAAACACAGTATGACGGTAGTTTTCAACCCTTTCGTCAGGAAGCGGGTTTGGGTTAGGGTGTACGCTTTGGGTTGCTCGCAGGCTTGTGCCGGCCGTTGGGCAAGCAAAGTACAGAAAACAGCCTCCCAGTAACGACTGGTGACGAAGAAATAAAACATACGTACATACATTTTTGTCACTCGCGCTCGACAAGCAGGCGAGGGTTTGGAGAGTTCTGTTCACCACTGAGACGTTTCGCTGCAAGACCCAATTCTCCTCACAGCATCGGGGTTTCGGCCTATTCACCAACACCCAAGCATTAACAATCAAACTATCACAGATCGACAGGCTCGCTCACACTACTCCAATACTCCTCAGCAAGCCATCTCTAGCACTTCACACTCACAGGCCACCAGACTCTCGAGCACTTCCCACTCGCAAGTCAAAGACTATCAGCACCATCCACAAAGGTCGTCATGCCCCCATGTGGTGTGCTCCTCTGCACTGTCTCTGAAGTCATTGCAGCAATCTGCAAAACATGTCGCGTTGCAAGCCGAGGAAACAGCTCACCTTACACCTCAAGTCCCTCGGCTCATCACTCATCGCAGTATCCCAGATGGCGAGGCAGATGGTTCTTTTCCCCACAGTTTCAAATACAGCCGTACATACATACATACATCCATGCATGCATGCATAGTTACATTACATACATATACAATATACACGTACGCACACGCATATGCATACAAATACGCATACGCATACACATACACACACAATCACAGACACAGACACGTACACATACATACACACATACACATATACATGTGTGTGCGCATTATAACACTACTCGTTTGTACATACAAACACATACACATACATGTATGTATATATATATATACACACATATGTGTATAGTGAGGATAGATATATATACATATATTATGTGTACATGTGTATAGTCATTCTCATACATGTATATATGTATACACATATACATATATACTCATGTACATATAGACATACATACTAGAACCATAGAAGCATTTTGAGAACACCATAAACAGTAAGCAAGTCGTCGAAGGGAGCGTATTACGGTCTTTTCTGAAATGAACAGGCACCCGGAAGATTGCTTGATTCGTCATAAACTTTGTTGATTAAGGGTTTTCGGCTTTCTAAACCCTACAAAACCTTCTACACAAGCTACAAGTACAAAGCACATCGAACTGAAGCATTTAACACCACGTAAGCCCCCATGAATTTTAAACACCCTTTCAAATAAATCTCTACAAAGCCCCTTCATCCCCTGACGCTAAGAAAACACATCAAAAAAGGGTCCCGGGTCCTGCGAAGTCTTTCCAGAGCCGCCTTCTGCTTGTCCATCTTCGCTGCGGCGGCGCTTCCTGCCCGCGCCGCACCTGCTTGGTTTCGTCTCTCACTTTTTTTTGCGTCTCTCACTCCTTTTTGCAGCTGGGCTCTCAGGGTCTCTCACTCCTACAACCCCAAACCCTTCAGGCTTCGCCCGAGGCAGGGTTCACGGCCAGGTCTTTAGGCCTAGGGACTCTCGGACTCTCCACACTCGTACTTAGAGGATCAGGGGACTTAGTAAGTAGGGTTATAACTAAGGTAACTATAGTTATATAGGTTTATAACCATAAACTAGGGTATTTAGAAGCCTACCTACTGAGACCCATGATCCTCCAAGTACAGCTGTCGCAACCTGTCGCGTTCTGGTTCTGGGCTTTCAAGCAATACAGTAGTGCTTTCGGGGTCTGGGACAAGAGCTTCGACCGTCGCACTCGTTCGGAGTTCAGGCATAGATATCTCGGACTCTCTTGAAAATATAGTATACGTAGAAGAAGTGGCGGAAACCCGAAAACCAAGTTAGAAGGTGTGCGATCCAAGGGAAACTGCAGCTGAGCCACTATGTGCTGTTGGGGCTTAGGAATCCTAGGTCCTAGGTTTCCATTGATGGAGTGCGAGGGTTCTTGGCAAGGATGGAAAAAGCGAACGTTGGCTTAACTGGCCTTTTCGCTTCTTTCGGCCGAACTCGTCGACTTCTTCGTCGTCCGAGTTCCAATCCTTTTTCGGTTCCTGAGGCGGGTTTTGGGCGTGACCCTGTTGTGGCAATTACAACGGTGCTCACAGTGATCTTGCTTGTGGTGCAGCTGATGCTTGTTGATAGTCTTGTAATGCCAGAAGAAATTAATGTTGATATATCCGAACTGGCGAGTAGCTTCACAAAAAACGCTTTTGATGCGAGCAAGAACTGTCCTCGGCCCATGCTACTTCATCCCCCAAGTTTAATGCAGGCCTGCAATCACATGCACACACCTGACTTCCTGCTACTACCCGACATGGATGGTATCTTCTTCGCTGGTCGCGTTGCTTTGACTTCTCGCAGCTGCTTGATCCACATTCCAAATGTTGCCAACGTGCGCAAGAAAAAGCTATGCATAGGGTGCTTCATAAAACATCATAAGACTACAGGTCTGCAAATCAGGCGCATGAACATCAAAGGCAGATCAAACGCGAAGTCATCGAATGCCGCGGCTAGCTGCCCACATTAGATCAACCCCGCTATTGAATCGTTTCATCGTGAACTTCGAAGTGCTTCATGCGTCCGCAGTGCTGGCTCCATGACAAGTGCACCGCTCGTGCCGAAGGAACTGCATGCCTTCTACAGTCTGGAGGATGCTTCAGACGAACATCACCAAACCAATGAAGAATAGCATCAGTGCTGTTGCATTTGGGACGACTTGCTTTGAACACTTTCGGCCACCGACCCGCTCCAACCTCCTCCCAACCCGGTCATGAGCTGCCCACTCCCGTGCTGCTCCCGAGCTGCCCGCCCAAGACGACCCACCAAAGCACGTGACCGAACATCATGCTTAGACGACCAAACAACAAACATATCCCAAGACCCTTTCTTATATAGAAGGAACACCTGCTTTCCAGACAAGAATCTGTAGACTACAATAAAACCCGAAAG